GCGAATGGTGACTCGTCCACTTCGCTCAGGAGGGGCTGGGTTTGCTGTGTGATCGATGGAATAATCTCTCAGTTGTTTTATTAATTTCATAATAAACAATAAAACAAGGAGGATAATTGATTTCGTCAACAGCAAGAAAGGGCTGAGAAATAAGATTTGGAAAAAATTTGAGTGATTTGTGCAAATCACTTGAACTACTCTGGATCCACGCCAGGTACGACATAGGTGTGATACATCGATCATCAATAAAAATGAAATTATTGTAAATGAAAACAATATTATTGTAATGAAACGTTTCAGGTGCCAGCAGCAGTAAGTCTTCTTTACCAGCTCCAGGATCCCAACAAGTGGCAGTTATCACTGAAAGTGAGCGAAACAACTTTTGTTTTGGGTTGTTATATGGATCATAGATAAGGATAAAGATTAGTGTTATTTCAAATGTTTAAGATTTGAAGATGCCATTCTAAACATCTAACTGTTAGATGTTTCAAGGATTACATGTGATATAGGTACAGTTAGACCCTGTATGTTTTTACCATTACAGGTAGCTCTCAAGGACAGCAGATTTCTGTGATAAAAAATGGTAGGCATAAATAAAAATTTAATTTCCTTCCGCCTGGTAATTTTAGCCTACATACCGGTTTAATTTATATATTTCTGTTAGTTTCATATGTGTAAACTTGAGAAACTGAAGTAGCATGTTGCAAAAAATTCACAATGAACATCAAATTTTGATGCAGCTTATCATCATGGTGTTTCTTTGTTCATTGTAAATTTATTACAACATACTTAATATCTTTACATGCTCTTTGCCCATTGTATGGTATTTTGTATCCATATTCAAAAATTAACTGAAATGTCAGTGTTGGAAATGGAAGTGAAAACATTTTGCGACAATATTTGACTTTCATACCTTCTTTGAATATATTTTGTTTTTTCTCATGGTACAGGTTTTGAAAGTTCTGCTTCAAAAGATGACTCGACGCTGATGGACATAACTCAGTCTCCCTCAGGATTCTCTTTAAAAGGTCAGTTCCCACACAAAACAAATGATGAGAAAAATATCATATTTTTCTACTCTTATTTGAAGGGTATAGATCTTGCTTTTTGTGGTGTATTCGGTGGCCTTTTTTTGTCTGCTACCTCTGAGAAAAGGTAACCAAAGACATTTTTAAAGCAGGGTTCGCATGCACCTTGAAAGTCCTTGAAATTGTAGTCAGTGATGGAAAGTCCTTGAATTACAATGCTAACTTTATAGTTTAAGTCGAACTCCAAAGAGAAAGGAGCAAACACAGAGACCTTCGCAACAAAATTGCTCATGTTATGGAAGAGCTAAAAAAGACATAGAATCAAGGCTCTTTTTTTGCACTAAATGGAGTCCTTGAAAAATGGGAAATGTGTACCTGAAAGTTCTTGAAAAGTCCTTGAATTTTTTTTAAAAAAAGGGTACGAACCCTGTTAAGGCTACTTTTTAACTTTTTGCTGGTTTACTTGACACAGGTTTGGCTGGTATAACATCTGAACAGCAAACAGTAATTCTGAATGCATCCCCACAGAACAGTCCTGGAGAAGTGAAGTCTCCTACTGCTGCTGGTAAGGTATTTTGGTTGTTTAAAGATTAATTAACTGTGCATTTCTGGCCTTGATGGCGACTTCTTGAACTTGTGCATAATTTACAGATATTGTTAGTGGGGATGATGAAGAGAAGAGCAAGAGTATGGATGGAAAACCGACTCCTGGAAATAGATCAGGTAGAAAGAAAAACCTTTCAATAATAATAATAATAATAATAATAATAATAATAATAATAATAATAATATGCTATAAAAAATTGCGTTAAAACATTTCTTAAAAACATTTGAGCAAGTTTTAAAAAAGTTAAAAAATATACGATGTTCTTGGACGTCATTATCAAGTAAAAAAATACAGTATGAATGTTCTATAAATACAAGAAAAACAATAGTTCATTAAAAAGGAAA